TGTTCGGGTCCACTCAGGGCAAACCCCCTTCCAAGACTAAGATTCAATGGGAATACACAAGCAGACATGTGCTCTGACTGGTGACCACGTTGGTCACTGATAAGGGAAAGTGAGGGAAAAACAGCAATGAAGCTGCAAGCTAAGTCCTACCATGTTCAATAGACTCCTATGAAATCAGGTGGAGACCTGGTCGGCCAGCAGTGTGGCAAGATCTGGAGACTCCTGGGCCCAGAGTCAGTGACATAGCCACAGAGGACTAGAGTGGAAAGTGAAGTGTCCAGCTGATAAGAAGAGAGGGCATATGCATAAGAACACCCACACTTGCAGATAATACCTACTTGACCTGGCTTCACTTAACTAGAAGAAAAAAAGGAAAAAAGCAGTAATCTGATACCATTTACTGAACTTGATCTACATCTATGGATGCAGTAGCTCAAAAGAGGGAACAAATCTTTACAGCGAGGATCATTCCCACCCCCTCCACACACAGAGTAGATAGGGATGGGCAATTTGGACATTGGCTATGCAAAATGGGGGTGCTACAAAGGCGAGTGACTGGCTTGTAAGTGACTGGCTTACAAGCTTTCAAGAGGGAGCCTAAATCCAGAGGGTGTAGAGGAAGGTAGAATCTCCACTGATAGTATCCAATCTGTCTGGGCGGGGCTGATGAAAGGAGATGGGGATAGGTCTCTTGTGGTACAATAGTGAATAATTGTTATCAGGACTGACTGTGAGGGTTGGAAACGTAAAGGCAGACGTTTTGCAGCAAAAGGAGGGGAGTGGTTGACTTCGCAGTCCAGGAGCGGAGGTCCCTGGGACCCCATCCAGAGAAACAATGACACCAGAGATGGAGGCAGAGATGACGTGGAGAGATGGAGCGGCTGGGGACTTTAGGCCCAGAGAGGGGCTGTGTGCTGATGACCAGGAGGCAGGCCTATTGGGTATACCCTTTGGTTGTTTGATGATGCATGGAGGGGATTGTAATCATGGCAATGAAACCATATACGATAGGATGAATGTAAAGCTAATGTTCTCCCATGTAAACTATCACATAATTCAGAATAAAACATTAAAAATAAATAAACTGTGCAAAATAGGGGAAAAAAAAAAAAATGATGCCTCTACCACCCCACCTGACCGCAACATAAGGGCTGAGTCCACAGAACCAGTGAAGAACCTGCCCAGAGTGGTGGAGATGGAGCCGATCCTGATCCCCTGGGGCTGGGTGGGGAAGAGGTCAGAAGATATTTGAAAGGGGAGGTGTTTTCTGATGGAAGTCCAGCCCCCACACTGCACCCTGTCCTTGTTCAAACATGGACTCAGCCCCCTGGGTGCCAGGCACTGGGACACAACATGAACAAACAGACCCTGGCGGAGGAGCCCCAGCGCGGGAGGGAGGCAGGCCTCATCACACAAAAACGTTTTTCATTGCAGGAAAGTGAAGGCCATCGGGAGAGGGTGGGGTGGGGGAGGGCTTAGCAAGTGAGAAGGCCCTGTGGTTGGGAGCAGTCAGAGGGGACTGTTTCTGTCCCAGTCTGCACCCCTTCAGACGGCTACAGACTCTCTGGAGGCCCGGGAAAGAAGACAGTGCCTGGAAAATTAGGTTCATGCCCTTGGGACCTGCAGGCTTTTCAGTTCAGTCCTGATTATAGGAAAGGACTAAGACCTGAAGGGTGGCTCTGAGCTACTCTCAAGGACCGACCCCTCCATGCCTGCACCCCTATAGAAGCCACAAAATAGATAGTGAGGGGTCAGAGCTGGGGCACCAGAGACACAGTCTCAGTAGGGGACAGCATTTGGCACCAAGTCTGTGTTTCCACCCCTGCACCCTCAAATCCCTGTTAGTGGTTCACCTGACCCCCTCACTACCCACCACCAGCTCCCTGCCAGGCAACAGGTATAGACCAGAACCACAGGGTCTGCTCAGGTGTGGGTGAAGGGGGGTGAGGACAGAAGGGACTGTAGCCCCAGGCCCCATGATGAGGGGCTGCTGGCATCCTCCACTGGACACCCAAGAGCAGACCCTGCCTCCTGCCCTGTCTGCCTCCAGGTGACTTAGCCCCATCACTTCTGGGAGAGGCCCCAGTCACAGACTGGGTCAAACCAGATTAGAAGTGTGAATCCTGCCAGAGGGTACCTCTGTAGGGGGGGCAGATGGGACAGCTGAGGTAAGGGGATGGCAATGCACACATGACAGGGCTGAGGTCCTGGGAGGAGATCACAGGCCTCTGTCCCTCACTGGGCACCTAAACACACACCTCCAGGCCCACCTCCTAGGGGACACCACAGGTCAGGATCAGGAGCCGGACCAGCCTCCAGCCCCAACTCTGACTTGCAGCTCCATGTACACCCCCTCCAACATTCAAACTTTCCCTGAGACCCAGGATTACTTGTCTGGCCCCGTCGCCCCCCTGAGCCTGGTCAAGATGGAGCAGGGCCCAATAAGCAAGGTATGCACATGCTAATTTGTGCTTACTCAGTAATCTGTAGTGAATAACTTTATATTTTTTAACTGTATCCAAGAAGCTTCGACTAGGTACAGTTGGTATCTGTCTGTCTGGATCCCTCAGCACCTTCTAAGAGAACCAAGCCTGTTTTCAAATTGGCAATCCCTAAATCCTGGTGTGGTACTGTGGGTTAACGTGCCAGACTGTAAAGCAATTTGAACTGAAAGGTTGGTGGTTCAAGCTCACCAGCTGTTCTTGGGAAACCCTATACAGGGTCATTATGGGGCGGAACCAACTTGATGGCAGTTAACAACAACAGGGACGGATTACCCAATATATAAGTAAGATAAATACGGGTTTCTTTGTGCTTACTTAGTAATCTGTGCTGAACAATTAAACATGTGATGGCACCCCTGTGGAATTGCTCTCTACAGGTCAGTAAGTAAGCACAAGGAAGCCCAGGCTGACCTTGCTTCCTGGGTAACCCCTCCCTACCTCTGCTTCAGCAGCATCGGCCTCAGAGGACTCTCCTCTGCCCGCCTTTTAGACCATATCCTTTCATCTGAATGGGGAGAATGCAGCCACATGGACGACAGTACACAGCAAGGCTGGGTCAGCAGCAAGTCACAGCCTTAGAGGAAACTGGGGTGATAGAACCAGAGTCTAGGCCCCTGTCACAGCACCCTGCATGCCAGGAGAAGCCAACCTGAACCCTGCTGAGTGAGGTCCCCCCCATACCTATGCCCACCTGCAGTGAAGCCTCCTTCAAGATGGAAATGGGTGGTTGGGACTGAGAACCACCAAGGGCAGGGTAGAAGGATAGGCCTCTAGCTTCTTCCATCCTTGAGCTCCACCTAAGCTCCACACCTGGCCAAAGTATGGACAGGGTCTGCGGGTCCTACTAGCTCCGGTGTGCCCCGCTGCCCGCATTGGGGAAGTGGACAGAGCCACAACAGACCTGCCACAGCACCCCTTGGTGAAGAGCTAGCCTCAGATCTATCAGAGTGGAGCCTACCAGGCCACTGCCTGGGGGCAAGGGAGGACAGCTTGAGGGATTGGGTGGACAGGTGGCACTGTGTCCCCAATGTAACTCAGTTTCTCTAGGCCTCCGTTCCCCTGACTATAAAATGGAACCAATCCTCCAAGAGCTTGTTTGTTTTGTGGGGCTGCTGAGCAGATGAGGCAAGATGCTGATATCAAGGACCAATTTTGAGAAGCCCAAGGCTTGGCCCAAGGCCAGGGAGTCCTGGGCACGGACTGGGTATGGCTGCTCCAGGCAGTGGCCCCTTGGTGCCGAGCCAGCATGGAGCTGAATCAAGTGACAGCCTCCTGCCTCAGGAAGGGTTGGGGCTACCATTCCCTCCTCCCCACCCTGGGTTCCACTGATGACAGCCCCTTATTATGCACTCTCTCCTGGACACAAGTGGAAATACAGTTCTGAGAACCACAGGTGAGAAGCCAGGATGGGGAGCCAGAGAGTTGCCCATCCCACTGCAGCTGGTAGTTCCTCCCTGCCCCTCTGGGCACTCCAGCTGTTGGTATGGTCTCTTCTAGCTGCCTTGCCCAGCAAATGCCCAAGAACCTGGTCTGAGCCTTCACCTAACTCAGTGGATACTTGACGGTGGAGAGGAGAGGAGGGGAGGCTAGGGCTGGGGACTATCTGTGGGGTCTGCAGGTCTCAAACCTGCTGGACACTCCCTAGGGGATCTTGGCCACCCCAGTGTGTTGAGTTTGCCAGGAAGGGTTCAGGCTAGGAGTTTGGTGTGCCATATGGGGTAGCTTGCTCCACATGGGGTAGCTTGAGTGGGGGTGGGTTTTGTTCCTGATCACCCCAGTTAAGGCCAGCAGAGCTCCCCACAAGACAAGGCAGGCAGCTAGGGGGAGGGGGTGCACCCCAGATAGGAGGGGGGCAGGGCAAGGGATAAAGTCCAGAAGATAGAGGGCTAGGAGAAAGGGCTGTGGACTGCTTGTCGCTCACAGCTCCACCTGTGCTGGCTGGCCACCTGCCCTTGAGCCGCTGGACTCTAGCAACCCAGGAGAGTGGGGGCGGGAGCTCTTTCCTAAGGGCTCGGTGACCAAACGGCTAGGTTTCCGCCCCATGCTCCGCGTGCACTGCAAGAGGGTGGCAGGGCCACATGACGTCACCGGTAGGTGGCCCCGGAGCCAGGTGGGCGCCCACCCCACGCAGTAACCCTCCGTGGCATATCGCTCATTCTCTCCCTGCAGCCGCGCGCCACGATTTCCTCTTTCTGTCCAGTCTGAGCTTTCACAACGCCACGACAGCCCGCGGGAACAACGGAACACAGAGCAGGGTTGGGGCGGGAGGAGATGCGGGGAGGGGAGGTGCCTGTCCTGGCAGGTGCACGTCCGAGGGGGGCCGAATAGGGTGGCCCGCATCCCGAAACCAGCCACATGGGCGGCACCCACCCACCCGGTCCGCACCCACCCAGAGCCCGCATCCACCTGCGTCCACGGCCCGCACCCATCTGGGGCCCTTACCCATCTGGGGTCCGCACCCACTTGAAGCCCGTGCCCACCCGCGCCCGCGCCTACCCGGGGCACCGCAGTCGGCGCAGCGCGCGTTCCCCGGCCGCTGCAGCAGCTCCAGCACTACCCGCCGCCGCTCCTCGGCCATGGCCGCCGCGGGAGGGGCCTCAGGATCGCGCCGGGACTAGGACCCCGCGCAGG